ACATCAAATTAGAGAAGATATTTAATTTATGTCTAAGAACTGTGGGAGTCTACTGGCACCTCCCTCTCTCCTCCTGCACCACTGGCCTATCCAACTCTGGAATTCACAGCTCACAAAGTGGTTCAGTTGTAGGATGGGAACGAGTGCACTGCTGCATACATACGAACGTATTTAGCCACAAAGTAGGGACTGCCAATTGGAAATGGTTCTGCCAAGGGACTTTCTACGGTTGCATAAACAAAACGTTTTTGTTAATAACAATTAAAAACAAATATACGAGTGTATACTCGTATTTACAGCCAGCAGACAATTATCCCTTAACTGATTTCGACAGAGAAATCAATAAAACAGAGAGAACGACCAACAGCGACTTGGCCATCAACTTGGACTAATGAAGCCCGAAACGAGTTGGCTAAAATGAGCATTTAAGTTTGGTAAAAAGCAGCCAAGAAAATTCCCCAAAATGAGCAAAACAAGTGGCAGAAGGATGGAGTGGTTGAAAACGAAGAGAAGAGAATTCACGAGCGCAAAACGAAATGAATTACAGAAGAAGAACAACATTTTGCATAAATTAGAACGAGCCATGCAACATGAAAATCGCTGAAACGTGTCTAAAGCTGTTGACAGCGGGACAAGAGGGGCACGGTGGGCAGGGGGCATGTGGCAGTGGCAGTCTGCATAAAATTAAGCAAAAGCTGTTAATGACGGAACGCGAATCAGCTCAAGACACACACACCGCAACTCGACTCAAACGACTGCGACTTGAGTGGAGTTGGTTTCACATGCCACATGCAACATGCAACTTGCATCCAGTGTGGGCTGTGCTCTGTGCTCTGTGGACTGTGCGCTGTGCACTGGCTGCTTCTGCTTGTGGCCCCAGCGATTAATTATGCATTTTAGTTGATGCTGAAGCTGAGCTGCTGATGCTGATGCTGCATCTGCAGCGGGTAACAGAATAGACCCAGAACAGACCCAGAACAGAGCCAAAGACGGAGTCGCGTAGAGCTTATCACTAGCCTGGTCTAACGGTAACGCTGCACTAAATCACTACGCGGTACTTAAAGAGGCGTTGCAGCAGGCACACTCATAGATAAAGAGAGGGTTCTGCAAGATACCAGGCAGACTGAGAGTGAGAGAGAGGGAGAGTGAGAGAGAGGAACTTGTGCAACGGGCCTAACTGGCTCCCTGCCCAATGAGCAGCCAAACCCGACAAACTCTCGACTCCGTGCATCAGAGCCAGCCGAAACGATCCTAACCAACCCGTGTAGACAGGCACACAAAAATGTGTTCATGTTCATACAAAAACCCATAAAGAAAAAGAAGAAGCCGAGGCATAAAAACGTTGAGCGACAGCAACACGTGCAACATATGACGCGATTGCATGTACAGACATACATTTTCTGTGGCTGTTTTATGCTCGCATACTAAATATATTACGGGTGTATATAGCCGGGTTCGGTTCGGATCTGTTAGGTTTCGGGTTTTCGTGGCCTTTGTTCGTGTGACGTAAATGCAGTCAAAAGCGGCCGTTTAACCCGCAAGTCAGACTGGGGAGTCAGTCGTCGGAGAATGGTATGCTCGTATATGTAGAAATACATACGAGTATATTTCGGTGTTTGAGTTGGTTCCGTTCGAGCGGCAGACAATGGAACACGCAACAAGGTCACGAGTTGGGGGGGCCATTGAACGAGATTTCATAATGGGGGTGCGCTCCTGCTCGGGTCCGGCCACGCCCCATGGGCTGCACAGAGATGCGTGCAATTCTGGAGTAACTACAGATCAAATCTGGCCAAAGATCGTGTGCTAGCCGGGGGGATAATCAAGCATTAGTAGGCCTAATACCAGGCTTAACCTCCTGGCAAGCCAGGCGTTTATCTTTGGGCCAATTGTGAAAGTAATTTAGTGCGGATTGGCTGCCTGCTAGCTGCCTGCTAGCTTCCTCTGCTCCTTCTACTCGCACAACACAACTCTTTTCAATTATTAAGAATTGCATGTTACGTATTAATTCCGTTTCGTTGTAGTTCAATTGCAGCCATTCTGTGTCGTAGTGCACTTCTGATTTCCCAGAATCGAGGCCCCCATTGCATTGGGAAACAAGTTTCCACTGGGATGACTGTGTGTGTGTGTATCTGTGTGCCTAAATGATTTTGAACCAGTTACGTGGTGGTGCTGTTCCTGGTCCAGGTTTTTTCTGGGGAAATTGCGTGTCTAAAATTTAATGAAATCGTGGAAATACGAGTCCGAGTGTTGTGGAAACATCGTGGATCGAATAGAAATGCAATCGATGCCATGGTGTTGTAGATAATTGAGATATTATTAGCTCTGTGGCATGGTTTTGGCATTTCAACCGAGGAAAACGTGCTGAAATTGCGGAATTATTCGTTAATGAGCAGCGCATAGGATTCGATTGAGATTGAGATTCGGATTCGGATTCGGTTTGGGTAGCAGCTCAAACTTAGGCTGAGGCCGGAGCTGAAGCCGATGTTGAGATGTTGCAATCAGCTAGATAAATCGATTTGAAGCGAATTGTGGGACAGAGATATGTGTGGCGAATATCTCTTGATATTGTTAATGTAATGGGCCAACAAAAGGCAATCTATATAGAGATTTCAGATAAAGTTTTAATGCTGTATGGAATACCAAAGAGCAGGTGAAATAATACTATTTCAAGCCATCCGTAACTAGGGAAATACTCTAAGCATTTTCACTTATATATTTGCTGAAAAGCTACCCATGGCGCATTTAATTAATAAAATATGTTTAAAAAAAAAACAGACTTGCATAACTATGTATGAACCGTAAAAATACCGATAATTCCCAGAAGAGTCTTCAAAACTCGTGAAATTCCCAACGGACTGTAAAGAGTAAGCAACGCGAGCAAACCTGATTGCGGAATGAGTATTTCTCAAGCCCATTCCCCATTCGATTTAAGTGTCAAACAATTTTATTTTAATTATCCTGAGATGTGCGCAACGGGCGACAGGCCATCAAGGAAATGACAGACATCAAACCAAATAAACTCAAAATCTTCTTAACCCAAATTTATGTATATGTCCAGATCGGCATCCATAGTTGGTCATGCTGGTGCGGTGCGGGCCACGACCAGCACCAATTGCCTGTGGCAGCATTTTTGCGTATTTGCTCATGTGTATCTATGTATTTTGCGCCTTTTGCCGAAATGGCTTTAATGCAGAAATTGCATGCACCCATAGAGAAAAAAACGATAGAAACCGTCAACAGGTTTCTCTAACGTCGCGGCGTTGTGTCGTGTCGTGTCGCCGGCTGTGGCCGAAAAGAGAAAACCAAACCGTCTAAGCCGCTGCTGACCAACCATATTTGGCAGTTGGAGCTTGGATTTGTGTTGATTTGAATTGATCTGAGGCCGATTCCATCCGATCATGGTCTGGCCCGGCCTGGCCTGGCGCTTGGCCACTGTTTTCCGCTATCAAAGTCGATCAGCGGGCGCACAATTCATTCAGTGACAGATTATGCCTTGACTTTTGTTTGGACAATCGCGGCGAATGGATCGGTTTAGAAAGTACCCTGTGATCGATCAACTTTTGGCACTGGCACTGGCACTGCCACTGGGCCCTGGCCTTGCCTACGACCCCGGCACCTGGCCCACAACACAAATGAAATTTGCATGGGACGAGCGCTGAAAAAAACAAAAAAAGGCCATAAAACTTTCTCCACAGTCACACGTTCGGGGAATGCCAACGACTGATCTGTGAACCATATGGAGGTGTTAATGGCTCCTGGTCATCCATCAGGTATACGTACAATACAAACAAATATGTATACGAGTTTTTGTACTCCCCAGGGAGCCCCCGGACGGACGTTCACTTTCCGTAGGCTCCGTGGGCTTCGCTTCGTTAGCAGAAGGTTAGCCTCTGATTGTGATGAGATGTCTTTAATTTGCATAAATTTACAAGAAATGTGAATAAATCGCTGGCCGCTGCCTGGCAAATTGGTCTCTCCGACGGCTGATGATATTTCTGCTTCTCACGTTGATTAGTTAATACACCTAAAGTTGGACCGCCTAATGGCTACCAGCTGCCGCTTTGTGCGGCCTGGTATTCATGCTCCAAAAAGTTTCGACACTGGATATGCTCTCGGACAAATGTAAAACGTTTATGAATGAAACAGTTTAATATCTCACATGCGAGCACTCGACGTTGAGTTGTGCCCAACAAATGGCATTAATTACGAAATGAAAACAGGAAAAAAAAAGTAAGAAACAGAAAAACGACACGGAATTAAAGCTGCAACATGACCAAGCGAAGCTAAGCTCTTTGGGCCCCGCACTGTGCCATATGTGCCATGCTGGAATTTCGTTTGGATGTTACTGCCGCAGCAGCGGCTATCTCTGCTTGGCTGCATAATCGCGCAGCGTGCCACAAATCGAGTGAAAGTACAACAGAAAGCGGCAGAAAGAAGATTCCGCAGTGGCCGGTGGCCAGTGGCCGAGAGAGCTGCAGCAAAGACTTTATGACTTTGCACCAAGCTCGGTTGATGGTGGGGCCCAGCCCGGTCCAGCTGCAATTTCGGATTTTCATCAGATTGGACAACAGCACGCATGCGCAGCTGCAGCCTGCCACTGCCACAGACACAGCTAGTGGTCATAATTGCAGTCAAAACTCATTAGAAATGCCTGCAGGAACTCGACTAGAATGAGTTTTCGTCTACTTTTGTGCGAAGTCTAATTGCAAATGACTTGCATGGGGCAGATGGAATCGGGAATTATTTATATGCCTTTTACAAGGGGGAATAAAATTCCAGATGGAGCTGAAGGTTTTATGGTACTTTATGGCCCATGATTCGGGCGAGCATTGCGTATGCGTAATAAAAATTTTCACAGCCCCAAAAGTGAGAGTGGTAATCTCTCTTTCTCTCAAGTTTAATCACATCCGAAACCCAGAGACCAAAACTAATGCTGTACTTGGGTAACACTCGTACCTTTACCTCATATTGATTTCTCTTTCGGTCTTACCTCTTTGCAGCTCTCAACCCGGCCAAGTACTCAGCAAATACAAGCCCACGCCCGCACCCCGCTCAAGCGGCAAGCACCAGACCATCATGCAACAGCAGCCGCAGCCCCACAGCAGCTACTACACGCAGACGGAGAGCGAGCTGCTGCAGATTGAGGCGGGCGGTACGGGGCTAACATTTCCGCCACATCGCAGCGAGATGGCCGCCACCACCTCGCAGCTTCAGCAGGCGTCGATGAGCAGCAATGTGGCATCCACGGCCACGTCCAGCAACCTCGATGTGCCCTCGACCGGCAGCAGTGGCAGCGGCAGCGGTGGGCAGGCGAGCCACTTTGTGTCGCCCCTGCAGCGGCGACACTGCCAGCCGCCCAGTCATCTGCCACTGAACTCGGTGGCGTCTCCGCTGCGCACGGCCAGCTACAAAACGGCAGCCGCTGGCCCAGTGGCCGGTCACGGCTTCCATCACAGCCACCACCAGCAGTTGGACTTCCAGCGCAACTCGCAGTCGGACGATGATAGCGGCTGTGCCCTGGAGGAATACACATGGGTGCCGCCGGGTCTGCGACCCGATCAGGTAAGGGCGTGCCTCCAGCACAGGCAACTAGAGTTTTCAGCAGAAACACCATCATCATCATCATCTTCGTGATCATCATGTGTATCGATTTGTCGGCACTAATTAAGTGAAATCTAAATCTGCGCCATGGCATTACCCGAGGCCACCCGCTGACAACTTTTGCTTTCGTTCGATTTTCCACGCTCCCCAAATCGGAATCCCAAATCCAGTTCAATGCCTGGCTAAAGCTGGGGCTGAGGCTGTGGCTGTGCCTGTGCCTGTAGATTGGGGCCTGGTCTTTTGGCCATTGGACATCGGCCACATGCACGTTTAAGGAAATCGTTTGGGAAACAACTTTAATTACACGCTGAAAAAATTATCGCTCCCAAATCGCTATCTGTATCGATTGGAAAGCGAAAGCGTTTTGTAATTAAATTGCCGATACTCGTATTCCATTCCAGCTGCCGCATTTGGCGGCAATTAAAGCTGGAAAGCATGTCGATATATCTCAGGTGCTGGCTTACATAAGAGCCCCTGGGAAAACTGTAAATTGCCTCCCAATTTTTCATTACCTCGATTGTCGCGGCTCTCCCATGACCATTTGCCACGCCACCATTCATGTCTCCATTTGCACTGACATTCCATTAATTCGTTATGATTTGTTCAGTTTAAAGTGCAGTCGGAACTTGTTGGCTGGAACTAACTGAATTCTCCCCTTCCGTTTTGCACTCCGCAGGTCCGCTTGTACTTCAGTCAACTGCCAGACGACAAGGTGCCCTACGTCAACAGTCCCGGCGAAAAGTATCGCGTTAAACAATTGCTGCACCAGCTGCCGCCACAAGATAACGAAGTGAGTATTAGCCAAAAGCAAAGCTGACTAAAACAGAATGAAAACAAAAGGAAATGCAGTTAGCAGCACAGGCAGCTCGTAAAAATTGAAAGAAAAGCAACTCAAAAGAAAACTTTGGCTAGACGTTAGGGAGGTTCTGTCCATTTTGTTCTTAGAACTGATATCGATTACAAGGGACCAAAGTTTCAAAAAGAAAATGATTAAAATATGCTGATAATAGAAGGATAAATAGCTTGAGTTTGGGATACAAAAAGATCCTCTTGATTTGAAAGATATTTATAAAATAAAATCATAACAAATGCTGCCCGCTTTAATTTATTTTCGTGTTTAAAGAGTATAAACAAAAAGAAACAGCACATCAAAAAGAATATTTGAATGCTTGCAGAAACGAAGGAAACTCCAATCGAGATATAAATAATAAGTATTCACAGTATTCACTGCAGCCCATTCTCGTTCGTGCCGAACGGAGATTGCGACAAGATTTATAATTACCTCTTCGGGGGCATAGAAAACAGAGCATAAAGAAAATACTTCATGAGCAGTGGCAAGATTAAAAAACTTGTCAGTGCCTTTTGAGTTGCCTTAATTAAAATCCATGAATACAACAAACTTTTCGCCCGTCTACGTGTCTGTTGCAGGTGCGCTACTGCCACTCGCTGAGCGACGAGGAGCGCAAGGAGCTGCGCATCTTCTCGGCCCAGAGGAAGCGAGAGGCTCTCGGCCGAGGCGCCGTCCGCCTGCTGTCCGACGAGCGACCCTGCAAGGGGGTAAGTTTGAAAACAATTTTTTTTTACTTAATGCAACCCACCCAGCTGCACCCCAGCCCTCTGACATCTGCCCACCGTCTGATTTAATTGTTGCAAAAATTTGCATTTTATTATGAACAAAAAGTGCGCGAAGAGCACAAGATGAAGAGTCGTTTCGATTTCATTTGTGCCTGGCCGAGCCGGGCCGGGCCGGGCGAAGTTTTCCACCAGAGATTCTTTCTTGCCTGCCATGAATGGCCCGAAAGGGTAGAGGGGGGTAAGCAACAAAAAATCTGACAATGGCTGGCGAAAACAATGAGCTGTCGAGGGTAGCGGGACGGTGGGAAGGGAGCGGTGTTGCCAACTTTCAAACGTCTCGAAATAAAAGATGACAAAAAGATTTCATTAAGTACACTTTTAGCAAACGGCAAAGTGCTGCGAGGAAACCCCAACTGAAACTGAAAATGAAAAACGTTGTTGCAGAAACAATTGCAGTGACTGGGACTGGGACTGGGACTGTGACTGGGCCCGGACTCGGTTTTGGCTCTGACAACATAAAGGCTAAGAGAGTCAGCCAACGTACAAATGCAGCAGTTGGTGTTTCTCTTTTGCCTCCACTTTGGCGAAAAGTGAATGGAGTTGCCTGCCAAAGACGCAATGAAATGGCATTAAAGCACAATGGCAGTGGCATGAAACAGGAGAAGTGGTATCTGCATCGGGCTGCTATTGCCACTGCCACTGCCACCGCCACTATCCTTTCCCAGCTTGTCCCCTGCCCCGCTGCAGAAATTTGCATTGTTATTAGCTGACAGGCGGAGGACTCTACTCTCTCTCTCTCTCCCCGTTCGCGGTGCGTGCCACAAGTTCAACTTCAAATTCAACTTCAAATCCGGAGCCCAGGCATCTCTTGCTCGATGCGCACTTTGGTCACACTGGGGTTCAGTTCTCTGGGCAGATAGTTTGCAGCTCGATTTTATTGTGCTCACATTCGCCACTCGTAAAACTTATTAAAAACTTTATGCCGCATGTTGCGTGTCTGGGGCTTGGTGGGGTCGAGTCTGGTCGGGGTCGGGTCGTGTTTGTCTGCTACGTGCGTGGGCGGTTGTGGTGCTTTGTGGACAGAGGACGAGGACTCGCCCAGAGCTGCCATCGTGCGGGTTTCTGGGTGTGGTGTGTCAGATTTTATTTGGTTTGTCCAAATTGGCAGACAAGTTCCGTTTATTATGGCTAGGACTTGCACTTCCACTGCTCTCAGCTGAGGCTGCAGTTCATTAGACAACCCAAATAATCAGTGCGAAGTTTGGCCAACGAATTCAGATACAGATACGGATATACTTATTTACTGGCATAACGAGAAGCAGAATCCTTTACAAATTTAAAGTTTTCGTTCATTCCTTTCCCCTGTTAAGTTCGCCAGGACTATGCCCAGACTTATTCAACATTTTGCATGCCTCTGCAAACTTTAATCTTTCATTCATAAAAGGAAAGATTAACTTAAAAAAAAAAAAGAATTCAAAATCTAGACCCAAGCCATCCCTCAGACCGGGATAAAAGTGCTTAAAATTCACAGACCATAACTGACTTGCTAAACGGACGTTAAAATGTGAACAAAGGTCCAGTCAACCCAGGGCCATCCAATCGAATGGCGTGGAAAGCATGAGGGAAATTATGAGGGAAAATTTATGAAAACGTTCAATGATCCCGAAAGGGAGGAAGCTTCTCGCATTTGTATTCAGTCAGGCGTAAATGAGTCGCAACGTGGGCCACAAACGTGTGTCACAGCCAACTGGCAATGATTTTGCCAAAAAATAATGTGCCAAGTGGCGTGGAGAGGAGCAAAAACTCCTTGACAGATTTTCCACACGAACAGCACTCAGCAGCAGCAACCCAGCGGAAGCTGAAATTTTGACAAGGATGTGACACTAAAGGTCGTCCTGGCAACAATGAAATAATTACAAGAAAAGCCATCACAGCCCTCGACTCCATGAAATATATATATTTTCTCTAAGAGCAAGGGACTAGCAGCCATTCAAGGTAGCAACCAGCAACAGCAACGGCAAAGCCAAACAAAACGGAAAGCAAGAGAAAAGAAAAGCTGGAGACAAGGAAGGTAAAGCTCGCTGGCTGTTAAGCGAAAAGTTTATGTACTGAAAAGGGCATGATAACGAGCGTCATTAATAATTTGAGTTGCCGTTGCCCGACGCTGCCAAGGGATGGGAAAGGGCTTTGGATCAGGAATTGGGATGGACTGATACTGGTACCGGTACCTGTACCGGCTCTGAGCAGGAAATTGTCTGTCTGTCTGTCTGGGGAACTGGGGAAGTTTGTCGCTAAAAGTTGGATTAATCCAGACACGAAATGGGTTAGCAAGGACACTGCAGTGTTCGGGGTCAGCTCCGGTTCAGCACTGGTCGTATCGGGTAGGTGCTACGAGGGCACGGGCACCGCCAGCAACAATTTGTCAATAGCATAATTGTCTGTCGCTGGGCTCTCCCCTCTTGCCAGGCGGCAAACAGCCAACCGGGATTAATTGGATTGATAAGATAAATGAGCAGCGATTGCTGCTATTTACATGACATTCACCCGGTCGGGCAGCTCTCGATGAAAAATGTCATTTTAAGTGCACGGATTTTCTGGCCAAACTAATCAATGGCGGGGGGTCGCATAGGGCGCCCATCTACCCTGGAAAACTTTGGCACTTTGTCGTGGCCGCAGAAACTACTTAAAGCTCTTTGTGGGGGCAAAGTTTTTTCCAGAGTTTCTGCGGTTTTCCGCAGCAAAGTGCAGAGACAAGTCTATTCCGACTCGGGATGCGTCATTAGCCAGGGATTGCTGGGGAGTGTAGCCAGCGGTAGAGGTGGCAATGGGAGCCACACGACACGGGGTACTCTTCCCGAACAAATTAAAGTGCGCAACTCCCTCATTTGTATGCTACTTTGCGTGGGTTCCTTGCGTGGGTGGCGCTGGCCGGGTACGATAAATTTTTTTTTGGAGTTGCCAAACAATTAACGACGCATGCAGTAAGGCCACTTACATAACGGCCATGGAAATTATCAACCCTGTACAGTCAGCGCCCAAAAGCTTTCGCCTGTCAATGCTTAATGGCTTGCAAAAGTAAATGCTGATTGCGGGGGCCAGGACACAGCGGAACAGCGGCACAGCGCCCGCGCTGAGGTTTAATAGCCTGGAAAGTTAAGGAGCTACGCAGCAAGACTGGAGACAGTCGTGGCAATGGGCCCCTCTTGCGGCTGCTCTGCGGTGGCATCGGGTAATTTGCCTGCGCCAAAAAGCCGTCAAGAAAGCAGACGCACTGAAGCAATCTCGGGCAGTGTCTGGAATGGGGGCGCAAATTGGCAAAGATTCTCAGCGCTGGTGGGTCTGGGCCGGAGCGTGCATCGCTTCTGTTTCGCTTCTGGGGTAATGGAAGGAGGTCGAACATACATATATCAATGCAGTTGGGCTAATTGCTTTTTGTGGGGGGAAAGGTTAGAGGGCAAAGGTTATTTTCTAAACGCAAGAAACAGGAGAACGTTTAGGAATCATAAAGAAACATTTTGACTGTGGCTGCAATTAAAGTCAGAATAATCTTTGTGAATTTCATTCGACAACGCATTTATTTAATAACTGTCCAAGCACTCGTATTTAGCTCTCCCCCTTACCACTTTTGGTTTCCTGTCTCCTGTCTCCTCTTAAAAAACTCAATTAGGATCTAGGGTATAAAAGCGTCACCAAGGATCTCGGTCGGTCGGTACCCTTTCGCCCCGAAATGAGTTCATTATGGCGAACGCGTTTAAATTTAACGAGTCTCGAGGTTCAGGGTTTGCCAGCAGTCATTAAAACAGGAGCTTCCTGCTAGCAGCAGCAGCAGCAGCACAGTTTTCAAAAATGTACCAGTGTCCTCGCTTAAAGTGCTTCGTTATCCACCGGGGAGCACTTGGGGTGGTGGTGGTGGCGTTGGCTGACACGGGCACATGGCCGGCAGCTATTTTTGCATGATTTCCGGTGGGGAAGCGAGGATGGCAGGAGAATAAAGAGCAGCAAAACCACAGAGCACAGAGCACACAGCTCGTGCCCGAGCCTGAGCAGGCACTGCCCGGCCAATGGAGCTGGCTCCTGTTTCTGCCGTGTCCGTGTCCGTGCTTGGGGCACTTTTTGGGTGGAGCGTAGGCGGGGGGCGGGGGCTCTGAGCTTAAGCGTTTTATTACCGTTATTTAGCATTTATAGACGCTTAAATATTTTCGCCCGAGCAGCAGCCAGACGCTGCAGATTTTTATCGCTCGAAGAACTTTAGCATATTTCTCTTATTTATACGATTCCAGCTCTCCCTCTCGCTTTCTCTCACTCTTCCCATCTCTTTTGTCGTTGCAGTGCGAAGAGTCCCTGTCGGGCGGTGACATCGTGGTCTTTGCCCAGCGTCTGGGGGCTCAATTGTGCTGGCATCCGGGCTGCTTTGTGTGCAGCGTGTGCAAGGAGCTGCTGGTGGATTTGATATACTTCCAGCGCGACGGGAATCTCTACTGCGGCCGCCACCACGCCGAGACCCAGAAGCCACGCTGCTCGGCCTGCGATGAGGTGAGTGATCCAGGGCCATGTCCATCCATCTTTCCATTCCGATTCCGATGACTATCTTGAAGATCCTATCCGAATACTGACTGTTGCTTCCCTTTGGCTCTGTTTCTTTTCCATTGACAGATCATCTTCTCCGACGAGTGCACGGAGGCGGAGGGTCGCACCTGGCATATGAAGCACTTTGCCTGCCAGGAGTGCGAGCACCAGTTGGGAGGACAGCGGTACATAATGCGGGAGGGCAAGCCCTACTGCCTGGGATGCTTCGACACGATGTTCGCGGAGTACTGCGACTACTGCGGGGAGGTGATCGGCGTGGACCAGGGCCAGATGAGCCACGACGGGCAGCACTGGCATGCTACGGACCAGTGCTTCAGCTGCTGCACCTGCCGCTGCTCGCTGCTGGGGCGCCCATTCCTGCCGCGGCGGGGCACCATCTACTGCTCGATCGCCTGCAGCAAGGGGGAGCCGCCGACGCCGTCGGACACGAGCTCCGGCCCACAGCTGCGTCCCACCCATCGAGCCTCCACCTCCAGTCAAATCGCCCGCTCGCCCCGCCGCAGCGGAGAGCGGGACAGGGAGAGGGAGTCCGCGCGGAAGGGCAACCATGGACATGGTCATCCAGTCAAGGGCACGGGCACGGGCACAGGCAGCGCTGGCGATCTGCTGGAGCGGCAGGAGCGCAAGCGCATGGAGGCAGCCGGCGTGGCCGATCTGCTGCTGGGCGGTGGGGTGCCAGGCATGCCACGCCCCGCCCACCCGCCGCCCATCGACCTCACCGAGCTGGGGATCAGCCTGGACAACATCTGTGCGGGGGACAAGTCCATCTTCGGCGACACCCAGCTGACGTCATCCATGCCGGACATGCTGCTGTCGAAGGCGGAGGACTCGCACAGCTACCAGAGCATTGACAAGATCAACCTGAACTCGCCGAGCAACTCGGACCTGACGCAGAGCACCCAGGAGCTGGCCAACGAGCTGGAGCTGGACAACGAGCCGGTGCGGGAGCTGCCACACGACGGCTACGAGCAGCTCTTTGCCAGCAATCGAAACACGAAGAAGGGCCACGAGCAGCACGAGATGCATGAGGAGGAAGAGGGAGAGCAGCTGGACAATCGGCCGCTGAAGGAGGTGCGCTTCCACAGCGTCCAGGACACCATGTCGCGCTCCAAGAGCTACACGGACAACTCCAACGCACGCCGCAGGCGGCGACGTCGTAACCAGTCGCGCAGCTCCTCGGAGATGCAGATCAATCAAACGAATCTGCGACTGCACAACGCCCAGACCCAGGCCACCGGCGCCCACAATCTGCTAAACAATCTGGACAACTGCGACGTGGCCAGCATCTGCTCCACCTGCTCGTCCAGCTCTTCCAGCGACATGGACGACTACGTCTACCGCCTGCCCGCCCGCAAGCACTACGGTGGCGTTCGCGTGGCCTACGTGCCCAACGATGCCCTCGCCTACGAGCGCAAGAAGAAGCTGGCCCAGGACCCCACGTTGGCCGCAGCCGCATCGGCCGCTGTGCCCGGAGTGCCGGCAATTATGAACGAGAGCAAGAACTGCACAATATCATGACCACCTCCCATTCTGCCGCCGCCACCCTTCAACCTGAGCAGCTACTACATCCTGGACACCATCCTGGAGGAGCAGAGCCTGATGCTGCCGGAGAAGAAGCCCGGCTGCCTCCGTCGCGTGTGGAACTTCTTTGGGCTGGGCAAGCCGCGTCTACAGCACACCAGCAATGGACGGCTGTACAGCGTTTAGGTGGGACTGCACTGTAAATAACAACATATCGAAATGTATTATACACCGAAAACAGACGACAGATGAGATCATCGAAGCGGAGTGAAGTGAAGTGAAACCTTGTACAAAGCTGAACCTATATCATATTTGCATTTGCATATACCTACATATTACATATACATACCTACATATAGGCATTATCATAACTAATTAGGTATTCTAGTGTTAGATCTAAGAAGATCGGAGGGCAGGAGGAGACGAGACGAGACGAGACCAGACCAGACCACAAGCAGCGCAATCAACGAACAATAAATTCCAACGAAATCAACTTCAACGGCCAACAAAAGAATCTCCCAAAAAGAGTGAAAGTCTTTTTTGTGCAATAAATTTAAAATGGCAAAAAGCAGAACTCGCAAAAGCAAAACCGAAATCTTCCAAAACACCAATCGAAGTAAATCGATAATATAACCAAATTTTACAACATTTGCAGTTTCTATTTTTTACGACGTTTTTCGTCAAATCGAAATAAGATGAAGATTCTTTTGTTTAAATGCCAAATGTTTTATGTAATTTGCCAGCTTTCACCCGCAGTGTGAAAGGGAAACTGTTATGTAAAAGCAATGTGTCCAGAATATTTAATCGTCCTAAAGAAAGTTTTGTTTTGTTAGATCAAAAAGTACTCACGACTAAGGACTATGATTTTGTATTGTATTGGCTATTCGTCTAAGCTATGCTATATCATTCAAATGAAAATTCAACAAATGTGTATGGAAACATAATCAAAAATAAAATATATGTATGTGTATTTTATCCTACTCGAACTGTGTTTGTTTCCTCTATTTTCGTGGCACCAGGCGCATCCAGTAGCCGGCCGTGGAGTTAAGGTTGAATCCGCGAGCCTCCTCCCACAGATCTTTGACGGTCTTGGGCGATCTCTCGATCTTGTACCTGATCAGGAGGTTGTACAACATGCCCTTGACCTGCATCAAAGCATATCGATTGCCTGGGAATAGAATTTATAGTAATTATGGTTAACCAAACAAATAGACGCCAAAGCAGACTCACCTATGCAGTTTCGAGGACCCACTCCAAAGGGCAAATAGGTATAAGGCACTAAGTCATTCTTCCGTTCATCGCTGAACCGCTCTGGATCGAACTTTCGGGGCTCGGGGAAGTACTGATCATCCCAGTGGAGTCCGACAATCGGAATATTGACGCGATCACCCACTTTAAAGTCGAATAACTTGGTGCCATCCTCATCGGTTAGGGTGTAATCCTTTGAGCAGACGCGATCGGTAACGGCGGCAAGGGCCCATTTGCGTAGCGACTCCGATATGACCATGTCCATGTACTTCATCTTCTGCACTGCATCGTACGTGAGGGAGCCACCCTTCAGCGACTCCTGGATCTCCTTGACTTCCTCGTAGAGACGCTGCTGAATGTCGGGGTTCTCGAGCAGCTCCAGGGATGTGGTGCATATCAGATTGGCGTTGTTTTCGAAGGCAGCGAAGAAGAAGATGAAGCACTGGGCCACTATCTCGTCGTCCGTCCAGTTGTTCTCGGCCTCCTTCTTGGACTCCATCAGCAGCTGGATCATGTCCGGACGGTTGATGTTGTGCTCTTCGCGATATTTCATGGCATCCACCACCAGCCGTACAAAGTATTCCACTTTCTGGCCATTGAAGATTTTCATATTAAAGAACTGAAACACAAAGAAATAAATGATAGTTTCAACGCTTGCTAATGCATATTAAGAATAACTCACAACAAACACTTTTGGAAGGAGGGTGGCCAACATGAACTTGAAGAGCTGCGATCCTCTGGAGAAGGTCAGCGACTGACCGATCTGGTAGAACTCATTATCTGGGGTCTCAAAAGAGTTCACCTTTAGACCGAAGGCGGTGGTGGCTATCAGATCGTTCGATAGCTTGTTGCAAAGCACTTTCATGTCCAACTCGATGCCCTCTCCAGATTTGGAACCCTTCGATAGTCCGGACAAGTGTTCGAGGCACTCCCCAAAGCTGTCGTCCATCAGGGCGAACATGCTGCGCATCTTGGCCGCCGTGAAGACCGGCGTCAGGGTGTTTCTCATGTGCTTCCAGCGCTGATCTCTCATCACACTCAGCATGTCGTTCAGGAGTCGCTCCTTGCTCTCCAGAAACAGCTGATGGTTGGGAAAGTGATCAAAGTCTTTGATGCAGATCTTCTTGATTATTTCGGGATCGTTCAGCTGGATCATGGGCGCTCGCAAATTAAAAAATCCAACAATTTTGCTAAAAAATGTATAATGTTCTTATCCGTATCTGGGATGCCTGCTCATTGATAGATGATCACTTACTGCTCCCGTGTCCGATTGTAGAACTCGCTGAGCACCTTGTGGAACGAGGATAGGCCCACCATCGATAAACCAACATTACCGAAAAAGGGCTTGGGCTTCTCAAAGTACACTCCTCGACCATCGAATGCATTGTGTGTTGCTGTAGACCACTTGTATATCATCACACCCACGACCAGAACGGCCAAACATATTTCCAAGCAAACCATAGCAAGGTTCCTTCACTTGATTGTATTATTTCAAACTGAGTTGGACAATTGTGCGACGCTACATTTATACCCGCCGAAATTCATACGCACACACATAATACATATATGTACATAACTAGTATGCCCGCCCGTATATATTCTGTTCTCCGCAAATATTATCTACCGAAGCTCTCCACTCCACTGGCTCTTGCTGCTGGCGATTTATAGATAGATAACTATTTAAACTTTCTGTTGTGAATATTTGTTTGTGCTGTTTGTTTGTGTTCGATAGATACATACATACTTTTTACCCTTACAAACAGTTCTTTAACTTTGATTAGCAGCCAGCAAACATTTCGCAAGGGTTCGTTTTATTGCATGATAAATGTATGTTAGGGCAGCCCAGCTTTAATGACAATTATTTACATATGCATGTTCGAACAACCGAATAAAACAATTGCGTTTCACAACTTTATAATGTTTTCTCTCTCTCTCCCTCTGTCTCTCTGTTATGCCTGGTCATATAAATGTCACAGAAAGAGAGATAAAAGCAACCATAGAGAGATGAAGCATAACTAATTTGGGCTTCGAAGCTAAAGCCGAAGCAGAGCTGCCGAATGTCAGCGTTTACACTACATACATATATGTATGTGTATGTACATAGTTTGTTAATTAATGCCTTATACATCTATTATCTAATTCTGTTGGCAATAGAATTAACGACTGTCCCCAAGCAATATCAAAATTTAAACCTTACAATACACTAGCCGCCATGGGGATCTTTGATATTGCAATATCCAAATCCAAATCTTTCGATTCAAAATGTGAGGGTATTCGAAGCGTCGTGCTTGGAAGCTTCATGTGCCTTAATTTGCCTGAATTTCGCAACTGATAAACCGGTTTCACAACCCTGAGCAATGCTCTAAGCTCAGAGAGAGAACGTTCTGATAAGAAAGCTTTCAGCTGACTCTCGCTCTCTATTCACTCTTCTCTCTTTGTTTTTGTCAATATCTTTACGTTTTGTTTACTGATTACCTATCATATGTTCATTGGAGTGGAGTGTATTCATTTGCTTGGCAACGTAATCTTATCTGAAGCAACAAACACTTAATTATTCATAATCGAACAAAGTTTGGCCACTGAAATCTGAGTTCCATATCAGTTGGGAATTGTTGTTGGTTTCATCTATCGAAATGCAATGATAGTGGAAGACCATTTAGCCACTCTAGCTAGGAAATGACTCAAAAATATAAAGAGGGTACGAAAACAATACACCCCAACACTTGCCGAGGCATGGGTATTCGCCTCGATCAATTGAGAGCTGTTCTATTTATACACAACTTGCTGGAGCAATGGCATCTGATGAATTTAAAATGAATAATTGACTTAACCTTTATTCCATTTAAGGAAAACCCTTAAAAACTAACTAAAATATATACATATGTAAAAATATATACATATGTAATAATCTAAAGTTGTGGGTACCGAACCAACTACTTTTAGAAGTAAAATCCACTATTGCTTTAAGTTTTTTGGCTTTAATACTGATATTTTTAATAAATACATTTTAAGGAGGTCTTAAAATTATACGTAAGCGTTTAGCCGGAATTGTTTTCGGAGCCAATGACTTTGACTCTCTCTCTATCTCTTTATCTTTTTGTATGGCTGTTCGCTATAAATATTCGCTTTATCAGATTTGGATGTGCGGTCAGACAGACAGACATTACTGATGCCGATCTGGAATATATATATTTATATATACAACGCTATGCATTGTTTGGTACTTTCCGCCCACTCGAGAGGGCACTCTTATGTACATACATACATATATATGTATATAATTCAAATTCAATTCAACAAATACATATTTATTTACGTTTATTTGATCCTTTATCGACTATTTTCAATTAATTTGCTTGCGAGGCACCAGGCGCATCCAGTAGCCGGCCTTGGGGGCAAGGTTGAATCCGCGAGCCTCCTCCCACAGATCTTTGACGGTCTTGGGCGATCTCTCGATCTTGTACCTGATCAGGAGGTTGTACAACATGCCCTTGACCTGCATCAAAGCATATCGATTGCCTGGGAATAGAATTTATAGTAATTATGGTTAACCAAACAAATAGACGCCAAAGCAGACTCACCTATGCAGTTTCGGGGACCCACTCCAAAGGGCAAATAGGTATAAGGCACTAAGTCGTTCTTCCGTTCATCGCTGAACCGCTCTGGATCGAACTTTCGGGGCTCGGGGAAGTACTGATCATCCCAGTGGAGTCCGACAATCGGAATATTGACGCGATCACCCACTTTAAAGTCGAATAACTTGGTGCCATCCTCATCGGTCAGGGTGTAATCCTTCGAGCAAAGGCGGTCAGTCGCTGCGGCCAGCGTCCACTTGCGTAGCGACTCGGAGATGACCATGTCCATGTACTTCATCTTCTGCACTGCATCGTACGTGAGGGAGCCACCCTTCAGCGATTCCTGGATCTCCTTGACCTCCTCGTAGAGACGTTGCTGAATGTCGGGGTTCTCGAGCAGCTCCAGGGATGTGGTGCATATCAGATTGGCGTTGTTTTCGAAGGCAGCGAAGAAGAAGATGAAGCACTGGGCCACTATCTCGTCGTCCGTCCAGTTGTTCTCGTTCTCCTTCTTAGACTCCATCAGCAGCTGGATCATGTCCGGACGGTTGATGTTGTGCTCTTCGCGATATTTCATGGCATCCACCACCAGCCGTACAAAGTATTCCACTTTCTGTCCATTGAAGATCTTGAGATTGAAGAACTGAAACTCAAAGAAATATCTGTATAGTGTCAATACATAGGCAAAAATAACGCCATTAATAACTCACAAGGAACACTTTCGGAACGATGATGGACAACATGAACTTGAACAGCTGCGATCCCCTGGAGAAGGTCAGCGACTGACCGATCCGGTAGAACTCATTATCTGGGGTCTCAAATGAGTTCACCTTCAGACCGAAGGCGGTGGTGGCTATCAGATCGTTCGATAGCTTGTTGCAAAGCACTTTCATGTCCAACTCGATGCCCTCTCCAGATTTGGAACCCTTCGATAGTCCGGACAAGTGTTCGAGGCACTCCCCAAAGCTGTCGTCCATCAGGGCGAACATGCTGCGCATCTTGGCCGCCGTGAAGACCGGCGTCAAGGTGTTTCTCATGTGCTTCCAGCGCTGATCTGTCATCATGCTGAGCATGTCGTTCAGGAGACGCTCGTTGCTCTGGATAAAGCTGGGATGGTTGGGAAAGTGATCAAAGTCTTTGATGCAGATCTTCTTGATTATTTCGGGATCATTCAGCTGGATCATGGGCGTGCGGAAACTAAATAGCCCAACAATTTTGCTGAAAAATTTACATACAACATTATCCGTGTGTTGATCTGTGTCTTATAAACAGAACACTTACTACTGCTTGGTGCGGTTGTACAACTTGCTGAGTTGCTTTTGAAACGACGTTCGGAATAGAATCGATGCTCCCATATTTCCAAAAAATGGACGGGGCTTCTCAAAGTACACTCCTCGACCATCGAATGCATTGTGTGTTGCTGTAGACCACTTGTATATAAGCACAGCCAGGCCAAGAATGGCCAGACATATTTCCAAGCAAACCATAGCAAGGTTCTTTCACTTGATTGTATTATTTCAAACTGAGTTGGACAATTGCGCGAAGCTACAATTTATACCCGCCAATGATATGTACGTACATGCAGACATACATGTACATATGTTCTATATTATCCACAATTAATGTACACATACAAGCTTTTCTTCTCTTTCTATTGTTGTGGGGGATCTCTAGATAGATGACTCTCACTCTCTTTTCGTGGTACACTATCAAGCAGTACTTTAACTTTAATCAGCAGCCTGAAAACATTTTGCAAGGGGGCACAGAATAGCTAAAGAATACTAGCTGCCATCTTGATCTTCGATATTGCCATGGTCCAGTAGTTTATGTTATCCGAATGGCATTACAGTGTATGTTTGGATTCAAGCTGTAAGGCTATTTGAATCATCGTGCTTCGAAGCATCTTAAATCTATTTGTTTTAAATTTTGCAACTGAGGAGCAGGTTCCCCAGCTCTGAGCTCAGAGAACGTTCTGATAAGAAAGCTTCTAATTGACTCTCGCTCTCTATTTCTCTCTTTGTTTTTGTCAAAATCTTTCCATTTAGTTTACTAACTATATTTACATACATATACCTATGTATATAGGAATTTAATATTCTAATGTTTGGGTTGCCAAAATACACTTTTTATGTGGATTTAAGTGGATGTGAACATTTCCGACCCCATAAATATATATATATATATATATATTCTTGATCAGCATCAATAGCCGAGTCAATTTAGCCATGTCTATCTGTCCGTCTGTACACTGTACATTTAAACTGATAAAATATCTAAAAATTCCACATATGTAAATACACATATATGTATACATATATATGTATATATAGTGACTGAGTACGGGTATAAAAGTAGAGTCGCGGAAACAGAAGCTACTCACAACGTTCCTTCTCGTTTTTTATCAGTGTTCCACCCTACCAGTCGAGTATATTTGTTTACCAATCAGACTGATGCAATGTCCAGAAATATGTGTTAAATTGTTTTCCACCTTATCAGTCGAGTGTATTTGCTTACCAATCAGACTGATGCAATGTCCAGAAATTTGTGTTAAATGGGGAAAACCTCGAAGGCTTGAATATCTGTAGAAATAAGAGTAACCAAGACCTGATAACAAACTATCAATTTATATATAATAAATTATTCAAGGGCTTATCAGTATTAATTTACTAAGTTTTCGACCTTGCCCTTGGCCTAATAAGAAGCAACAAACTCCGAAGAGCTGTCAGCTCTGTGAGATCCAACTTAATTTCAATTAAGTTAGAAAACTTTCTCCTCTCCCCCTCATCAATCTATGTGGGCTTATGTCATCCAACTAGAACTTCAGTCTGTCATGTCACGCGTGGCGGCCAAAAATGATGTAAACCCGGGCTTTGAAAGAGCTTCGACTCCAAAAGTATTGTCTTCGTGCGGAGGTTTACTGTTTGAATATTTAAGCATATTGACCGACGGCGAGTCACAGCCAACAACACAAGCAATGGAGCTGAGCTCCACTCCGATGGGGTAAAAACAGTTAAAGCATCAAATTAGCCGCAAGCGTTATGCCAGAAATATAATTAAATATTTAGACAGTTTTGTTATCGAGCAGAGTTTTGGCTCTGACTGGCGGATGTTTGTTTGATTGTTGGTTTTGCTGCTATTTCGCTTCATTTTGGCAGTTTGGAAATTTGCAACAAAATTTCTGTGACAAACGCACAGTGGAGGCAAATCAAAGGCAGAAGAAGGGAACTGAAGAAATATTTCAGCAGCTATCATCCATCAAATGCCATTGGCAAAGGCAGAAGACGGTAGAGAGGTACTTGTGCAAGTTTCAGACTAACAAACTACAGTGTATACTCTTGTGGAAAATAAATCACCAAGTATTCCCCTTAAATTTGTCGTATAATAGTTCCATGGAAGATTGTGAACATTTGAAGCTGTTTTATTAAATACGATATATGTATCTTTAATCTGTCAAAAAATTGGCTTGTGGACTAGTTGTGCAGATTAGTAAATTATCACAATCTGGATACACGTTGTAAGTTTGCTTCTTAGCCATCTTCACTGTTGCAGCGTAACCATATTCATATGGGTGTTCAGGGTTTATTCACCCCTTTCTGCTTGGGAATTCACACATGCATACTGATATGTATATGCATGTATGTATGAATGTAAATGTATGTACATAAACCCCCATATGTACATATGCATGCATTCCCCATATAACTTTCGTTTGCTTGGCTGTTTCCTCGTATTTATGTTATATGAACGCCTTTTACATTTTATGCGCAACTAAAATGTAGGAATATACATACATACATATATGTATATTTATGTATTTATATGTAGGTACTGGTATGTGCTTAGGTATCTGTGTGTTTGTGTGTGCATCTGTGTTTATGTGTACTGCATTTTATCAAAGCTTGCCCAGCAACTGACAATGTCTGTCAAAAGCTATGAAGCTCTCCAGCTTCATACTCCTTCTCTACTCCTACTACTGTATGCTCCACTCTTTGCTTCACTTTGCTTCTATTCCATTTCATTCTATTCTATTTCGCTTCTTTTTTATGCTCAAATCATGCTGCATCATTAAATCTTTTCCGCTGTGGCTGTCGCTGCTGTCGCTGCTGCCTCTGAGTCTCTCCTTTTGTAGCTGTTACTATTTCGCTTTTTGCATTTCCTTTCGCTTTCTGTTCAGTAGCGGGCGCTGTCTCTCTCTCTCTCTCTCTGTCTTTCTGTGGAGAGAATTTATAGCTTTCAGCGTTGATTTTGTTTGGGAATCATTCTGTTCTGTTCTCCCTTCTCCATTTTCTTTTTTTATTCGGGTTTGTTCTTTTTTATGTGTTTTTAAGTAGTCGTAAAGCGTAACACTTGATGAGATATTAAACGTTGCCCCAGCAGCAGAAACAGAAAGGATACCACATAAAACAGGAGCAGGGATCCGGATCGGGATCACACATTGTTGCACTTTGTTTGATTTGATGGCATGTTAAATATTGGTTTTTGAATTTTTCATTATTTCCTGGACCCGAATCGACGACGAGCAAAAGACTTTGAAGGGCCGTTTAATAGATTTGAGGCCTCGTAAAAAAGGGAGAGACATGGAAAGAGTGTGTATGATAGAATGAATGGTGGCCTAAGACATGAGGAAGTCGTGAGGCAGGCACACCTGACTGCCATGGCTGTCTGCCTCATCAGGGCGCATAAAGAGACCACAAAAACCCGAGGACCTTGTCTGCAAACTTGTCAATGAGCCCTGGCAACTAAATATTTTATTAGGCAGTTGGCAGCACCAAACACACACACACACACACACACCGAAAAAAATACGGTGGAAAATTGAAGAACAAGAAGAGGCAGATGGAGAATGGATGTGTGTGGGTATGTGTGTGTGTTCGTGATTGCGTGAAATTTAGTAGCTCTTGGGGCAATGTAGGGACAGACAAGTTGATGCTGATGAGCCTCATGATGATGATGATGATGATGGTGGACGAGGATGTGGATGATGTGGATGCGGCTACTGCCTGATGAAGTTGCCACTGCCTCTGCCAGTGGCAGTGGCTGTGCCTCCGCCTGTCAGGGGAATTGGGGATATGGCGGCAAAGTTCCTTGAATCCTCCCCAGCCCTCCATCTGGGGCATGTTTGCTCACAATTGGCTGTACGTGTGCAACATTTTTAAGTAGCTTTCCTCTTGCTTTCTCCCTCTGCCGCACTGTGCCGCTTTCCGTTCCTATACTCTCAGGTTTTCTTTTTTTTCTTTGCTTTGCTTGAAGAAAAATGCCAGGGAAACATATGTTTTCAATTTGACTGGCAAATGGAGGACCTTGATTGAATTTACCTACGCCCAAATGAAGATCGATGCTGTGTCTGGCCCAGCTTTAAGAGCTTCAAGTTCAGCTAACCAAAAACTATCCAAAAGTTCATCTGTCAACTGGCAGAGTCCCCAAAGAGGGACCAAGGGAGAGAGACAACGGGGAGAGACTGAGTGAGAGTCACAAATTACATTTGCGGCGTCTGCTTTTCTGCATCAATCATACGCACCGTGTTCCGGAGTAGCAGGACCAGCTGTCGAGGCGACGGGGGACATGTGCTGGGGCAACGGCAACCCCTTGGGGGCGGACACAGCGTTGACAGCAGGAGCAGCCTTCGCCTCCGCCTGTCTGATGCCAGTGAAAGCGTCGCCTAATTGTATGCTACATGATTTGCAAGTGAGAATGCTCCCAAACTCCAACTCCAACTCTAACTACTGGAATCGTCTGGCAAATTAAAATAAATTGTCAAAATTAAACAGAAACTTTTGCTTTCGCTTCATCCTCGACATTGTTCGTTCCGTAGCTTGTTTGCCTGCTTAGGAATTCAAATGCCGTCGTTCAGGGGGATCCTACATGGCCATGACTTGTCGTACAAGCATGTCTCTGCCTCTGTATCCGTATCCGTCTGTGTCTGTGTCGGTAACACTAGTACCCGCTCTCCCCCCACTTTCTCCAGTCTACATGTGTGTGTGTGCGTTTGTCCTTTGGCTGACATTCATTTGGAATGCGACGAGCATAACGATGGAGCTCAACTTTTTGCATATTACGCACTTGGTCACGTACATTCCTTATATTTATTTTGCATAAGTCACGGGCTCCCGCGCTGGATGATGGATGCCAGGGCCAAGAGTTTGCAACTTTAAGACCGGATTCGGTTCAAAATTAGCTCAATTAAGTTGGGGCATATGCAGACAGTGCCCCCGATAAGGCCGAACAATGGTGGTAGGCAATTTTCCTTAGACACGGTAATTGGACACAGTCCAAGGAGAGACGACGACGGAGGCAGTGTATGAATTATGGCCCAGCACTTATGAACGTTTTTTACTGTTTTCATTTTATTTATTTGGCTTTTCATTCCCGCTCTGTGACCTTTCGCCCAGCCACAGCCAGCCGTAGCAAGTTCAATGGCTGTGCCACACTTACACACCGCCCCTCCCCACACCTACGGCAGCAGCAACAGCCCCAAAAAGCAGGAGCATTTTTTATTTCGCATGTTGTGACGCTAAGTGCTT